TTCAGGACTGTATGTCTTTGATTGGTGCATTCGGACCATTTACGTTTAGGATGATTATTGATAGGTATGTACTTACTGCCATTGCAGGCTTTAGATTCATGGTTACCAAAGGTTCTAGGGTAACTTCCTTACTATCTAAGAGTTTAACTTAACTCACTTAATATGCTACTACAAAAATCTAAAGATTTTTTTTCTCCTTTTTTTACTCCTCCATTCTTTAAATATTAGTATCATATTCTGTACTCTTTGTCCATCCCTTTTTATTACCTCTGGTGACCACTATTTAACCTTAGCAACACTTCCATCTATAGCAGTATACTATACACTGTATATCCAGTGTATCCAGATACACTGTACAGCTTTTGCTTATCTTGAAATTGTTTAATCCCTCCTTTAAATTTAAATGATAATTTTGCTGGATAGAGTATTCTTGGTTTGAGGCCCTTCTGCTTTATTGTACTAAATATATCATGCCACTCCCTTCTGACCTGTAAGGTTTCTGCTGAGAAGTCTGATGATAGCCTGATGGACTTTCCTTTGTATGTGATATTTTTTCTCTCTCTGTCTGCTTTTAATACTCTGTCCTTATCCTTGATCTTTGCCATTTTAATTATTATGTGTCTTGGTGTTGTCCTCCTTGAGTCCCTTGTGTTGGGAGATATGTGGCCCTCCATGGCCTGAGAGACTATGTCCTTCCTCAGACTGGGGAAGTTTTCAGCAATTACTTCCTCAAAGACACTTTCTATCCCTTTTTCTCTCTCTCCTTCTTCTGGTACCCCTATAATACGAATATTGTTCTGTTTGGGTTGGTCACACAGTTCTCTCAGTATTCTTCCATTCTTAGAGATCCTTTTTTCTCTGTGCCTCAGGTTCTTTGTATTCCTCTTCTCTAATTTCTATTTCATTTATTGACTCCTCCACTGTGTCTAATCTGGTACTAATTTTTAGTACCATCCTTTGTGTTCCACAGTGATTGGATTACCATCCTAAATTTGCTCCTGAGAGCTTGGATTTGTTTCTGTATCCCCAGGAACATGTTTATGATTTTTATTTTGAAATCTCTTTCATGAAGATTTATTAGTTCAGTCTCATTTGAACCCTTTTCTGGTGTTGAGATTTTGCTTTCAACCAGGATTCTTTGATATTTTGTATTTGTATGTGGCCCTGTCTTGTGCCCAGAATCTCTATGCTCTGGAGCTACTCAGCCCCTGGAGCGATGTTAAGGGTTGCACGGGAGTGGTGCTGGTGCCTGGGGGAGAAGAGAGCTGTTTCCTGCTTCCCAGCTGCTATGCCTGTCTCCACTGCCTGTACAAGTGGGCCATACACACAGGTGTAAGCCTCTATGCTTTGTGTTTGTAGGCTTTCCTCTGGCTGGTCCGATGACAGAGCAGGGTTTGCTGGTTTGCGAGCCAGGTGTGGCTGGCTGGGAGGAAGGCGCAGTAGGCTACATATCATGGTGGGGGCTTTGGAGCTGCATAGCCAGGCAGGGGGATAGAGTGCCTGAAGATCATGAAAGTTCCCAATGTGCTTAGCAGAGTGTACCTGGACAATTTTGTTTACCTGTCCTTTGTCATGAGCAATAAGCTCTGTGTAGTCCTTGCCCCTTTAACAGCTTTCTCGCTTTTAGGAAGTCTCTCAGAGTTCCCGCCCAGATCAGTTGGATAGGGATCCCTGTTTTCCACAAGTAGCTGGAATCTCTGTCTCTCCAGGTATTCTGCCTGTCTTAGCTTTCCAACCCCACTGATCACCAGAGCACCATGCCATGTAGGTGCATGCTCCTAGAGCAGATCTCCAGGGCTAGGTGTTCAGCAGTCCCAGGCCTCCACTCCCATCCCATTCTGTTTCTCTTCCTCCTGCTGGTGAGCTGGGTTGGGGGAAGGCTTGGGTCCTGCTGGGTCACAGCTTTGGTATGTTACCCTGTTTCATGATGTCTGTTCTTTTTTCCAGGTGTATACAGTCTGTCACAGCCTTCTTTCCTGTTGCTCTTTCAGGCTTAGTTGTATTAATTATATTTTTGTATTACATGTGGTTTTAGGAGGATGTCTCTGTCTCACCTCTCACGCCACCATCTTTAATCCCGTGTAAGTGTAACTTTTATATGCATTTGGAAAACAAATTTTAAGACCTAAACTAACATGATAGCAGTGGGGAGGACACATAAGCGATGGATTCAAGAGGATGTATAAGAAACACATATTGTAGATGTACAGAAAATGAGTATTGGTTATGTTAAATTTACTAGGAGGTATACATTTGGTGTATGAGTTTGGAGCTCAGGTAGTCTGGGCATTGATACAGATTTAGGAATCACTTAGTAAGTGGTATTAGAAATCACTGGCATGCATGAGGTTACCGAAGTGGAAAAAGGGAAAAACTCTAAAGAAAGTTCATATTCAAGGAATTGAGAAAGGAAGGCAAGCCTAAAAAGAGCCAATAAGGAGACAATTATCGTATTATTTACCTGTCTCTTTGCTTCACTACACAGTGAGATCCATGGGCAGGAGTATGTTCTATTTATTTTTATATAGCCAGGACTTAACATAGCACCTGACATTAGGAGATGTTTAATAAATATTTGTTGAATAGACTGAATTATATTTCTATATATGGTGTTTTCTTAACACCTAACTAAGGGGTTTAATTACAGTACTCCTTTGCATTACAGATTGAGTTTGATCCAACTCAGGCTGAATGCAAACCTCAGTATTATTTTTCATCATCATGGGTGGAGACGCTTGACAAGGAGGTTAATCATCCATAAAGAGTTTGCTTACTTGTGATAAGTGATTTGATTAACAAATGAAGGGCCAAAAGCACATGATTCATTTGATAGCATTCTTTTTCTTCTAAAGGAAAAATAGAAATGACCATTTTGAATAGTTTTTTCCTTAAAAGGGCTGGAATTTCAATTGTGATTTGTCATACAAAAAGAGATTTTCCTAAATTAAGTACTGATGTTAAGGGAAAATCCCTTGAGATTACAAAAGACCAGGGATTGTTAATTTATTTTTAAAATAGGTAAAGTATTATTTACATTTTTTTCCAGCTTCTGTTTATAGTCACACTTTTTGAAAATGTATGGTGTTGACTGATATAAAAAAACCTGACTATGCATTTAAAAAAAAGATTAAGGTATTATTGATATATACTCCTATTTTGTGAGGTCTGCTCTGTTCTCCAGGTATGTGCACTCTGGCACAGGCTTCTTTACTGTTGTTCTTTTAGGATTAGTTGTATTGACTATATTTTTGTATTATGTGTGGTTTTGAGAGGAGTTCTCTGTCTCACCTTTCACGCCACCATCTTTAATCTCGGAATCTCCTCTGCATTTAATAATAGAAAGAAATCTATTTCACTAAAATTGATTTCTGAGGTCAAATAGTTATTCATTCCTGACTAATTCCTCACTCTAGTCAGTTTTCTAATGTTCATTTTCTTTGATGAAGAGTAAAACAAAAGGAAAAGGAAAGGTTGAAGCCTAATGATATACATATCTAAAAGGAGGCAAATCAAAGATGCAGGATATGTGTAAACTACATAAAAGCAACTCTTTTCTAAGTAGACTCAGGGAACAAACAGCTAGATTTTAGCATTTAATACTTTACTAGTTTTAGGCCTTTAAACTTTAACAGTTTTTTCCTGTTATCTACCATGTTATTTTTTCTTCCTTTTTAAAACTGAAGTATAGTTGATACACATTATATTGCTTCAATTATACAACACAGTGGCTCAACAGTTACATATTATTAAATCCTCACCCCAATTAGTGTAGTTACTGTCAACACAGAAAGATGTTACAGAACCATAGGCTATATTCTCCATGCTGCCCTACCATCCCTGTGACCAATTTATATAATGATCAAGATTTTTGTGCCCTTTTATGCCCCTCTCCTTTCCCATCTACCTATTCCAACCCTTCCTCCATGGTAACCACCAGGCACTTCTCAGTGTCTATGAGTCTACTGCTGTTTTATTCCTTTGTTTTGCTTTGTTTTTATATTCCACAAATAAGTGAAATCACATGGTATTTGTCTTTCTCCTCCTGGCTTATTTCACTGAGCATAATACCCTTTAGGTCCATCTTGTTGTTGGAAATGGCAGGATTTCTTTCTTTTTTATTTCCTAACATTATATGTTATATTCTAATACTGGAAAAAGAGTATTGTCATGTAGTAAAGAATGTTAGTCTTGTATCTTAATCCTATTTCTTTTTCCGCTGTTCTGTTTGCTTGTAGAAAAATTAGGGCATTTGTATAGATGTTCCCTAATGTTCACTGAAGTTTGAATATTTTATGATATATGAATAAAGTCCTTTCTTTGTAAAATCAACCTTTTTGTGTTGTTTTTATCTACATAACAAAAACAATTAAGAAACTATATACAACTTCTATGCTGAATTTTTGGAAATAGAAGTAGTTGATTAAAAACTGATAACACTGGGGAACATTACCTTTTCACTGTCTTTCAACAACCCAGTTTCAAAGTGCTACTAAACTAAGAGCAGAAAATAAGAAAATAGATGAAGCAGAAAAACTGAGGTCAGACTTGCTGCTCAGTGATCCATGGATAAATTAAGACCATTTTTAGATTTTACATTTAAAAATATGTTTTCCACAAAGGAAAACATGATTATGAGACACACTAGTTACATCCCATTTCTGGCAGATAGGATAGCAGGCAGACTCAATTAACTATCTTCTTCACTCAGTACTGAGAGCCCTCTCTTCAGTTTAGTGTATCGGTATTTTGATGGATGGAAGAAACACAGTTGATTTTTTATTTTTTTTTAAATGAAATGGGGACTTTATGGGTGCTTGACTCTACATACTGGTAAAACTGATCTTAGAGTTTAGTAGAAGTAAGAAGCAAAAAGGATGGTGATAGTAATTGTGATAATGGTTAATAACCTTTCTCCTTCAGGAAAACTATTTACATAATGTTATAGGAATCTTACTTGGAAAAAAATGAAGAGAAAATGTGATGGGTGAATATAATAGTACCTCGGTAGTTGATGATTTCTGTCCCAAGCACCGGAGTCATCTCGAGGACTGTGATAAAGGCTTTGTCCATAGATGTTAGAGGAAAAGGAGACATGCGGTGTCTTCTAGCCACCTTGGTGATATCGACAGCACTGTGACCTAAACAGAAAGATAAGAAACTAACAGTGATTTTGAACTATAGATTAAAAAATGGGAATGACTTATAAATACCAACAACTCTCAACTTCATATGTCTACAAATGAAGATTACAAGGTGAGGTTACAAGATTACAACCTGCTTCCAAAATACAGATTGCTTGCAAATTAAAGACTGCTTTGGTGGAATATTAAAGCAAGTTAGCAATGTTATATGATGTGACAAAACATGGTGAAAGTTAATGATGATATTGACTAATTCTTTTTGAGTGCTTATTATGTGTCATGGCACTGTCCTAATTAATCTTCATAACAACTTTATACATCATTATTAACCTTATTTATAGATGAAGAGAGAGGTTTACTTATCTTGGCCTAAATCACAGAGGTAGTAAAAGAAGAATCAGGATTCAAACTCTGGCTTTAGAATCCATGTCCATAACCAATATACTAAACTTTAAATGATTAATAAGCTAGTTGTAAAATGAAAGACTGAAACTTGAATTTATTTATTATTTCATAAGAAATACTCTTTCCTCTGAAAAAAAGTCATAGAAAAGGATGATTATTTAGCTACACACTCACCTTACCTAAGTTCCATGCCATTAATATCACCCATATACTCAACTCCTATTTTTCTATCTCCAATCCTAACTTTTACATTCAATTCTAGATTTGTATGTTATCCAAATATCTAGTGGATAAGAATATATATCTCCAAACTTGCAAATCATCCAACATGCACTTGAACGTCTAACAGGCAATTCAAACCTAGCATGTCTAAAATCAAACTCTTGATTCCCTACCCTCCTTTCCTACCCACACGATTATCTTACTCTTTTGCAATTCCATCTCAGTAAACAACAACTCCATTCTTTCAGTTATTAAATCAATACCTTGGAGACATCCTTGAGTCTTCTCTGTATCAGAACCTTTTCTAAAATATCTTTGAAATATCCCTAGAATCTGGTCACTAACTTACCATCTTCACAACCACCACATTAGCTGGAACCATCATTTCTTTCCTGGGAAACTGAATAGCCTCCTAACTGGTCTCCTTGCTTCTGTCCTTGCTCCACTACAATTCATTCTCCACACAGTTATAGTGATCCTTCTAAGTTGTATGTTTGATTGTGCTAATCTCTGCTCACAGCCCTCTAATGAATTTCCATTTCACTCAGAGTAGAATTTTTGTTATGGACTATAAATTATGGCCCCCACTGTTCTCATCTCTTATCATTTCCGCCCTTGATCACAAGTTCCTTGCTTATTCTCAAGTATGACAAATACATCTCTCTTCAGGGTCTTTGTACTTGCTGTTTTTACTCAGACCATTCTTCTTCAGATATTATGACTCTATCCATCCCTCATTTCTTTCAGGCCTTATTAAAATATCATCTCATCAAACATGCGTTTGTTAAATATCCTATATGGAATATTACCTACATCACTTTCTATTCTCCTTACTCTATTCTACTCTTTTTGGTGGCTATATATATATCCCCGTAGCTATAATATATATAACATATCTATTTATAATCATTTGTTTATAGCCTTCTAAGTAGAATGTATGCTCCGTAAGGGCAGAAACTTTGTCTTTTTTTTGTTCACTGTTATTATCCTCAATATCTAGAACTGTATCTGGCACATATTAGACAATAAGAAATAAGTATTTATTGAATTAATGAGTCATTTAATGGTAAAAGGGACTTCTTAGAGCACTATACCATTGGGCATAAATAACTTGGCCTTTTCTTTGTAACTTTAAAGGTCTACAGCCCAAAGAGTAAACAGAAAAGGAGTAATTGCAAACACTGTTGCTTGGCTATCCTAACTGATATCCACAACTCCTATGCAGCTAGGAGTGCAAAGTGGCTATAGGTTGATGTAACTATAATATAGTTCTGGCCAGTGAGATGTAGGAAGAAGTCACTGGGGCAGGCTTCCTATTACAGATAAAGAGACAAAACTTTAAGAGTAGAAAGTTTTGCTCTTTTACCTTCTTTCTATTTGGAACATGGCTAGATACTGGGAGGTGCCATGGCCATTTTCAACCATGAGGATGGAAACCCACACAGTAAGTATGAAAACATGAGAAATAAAACAGCCTGGGTCTCTGATAACAATGTTTGGCTGTTTTATTACATATATTAAATTTAGGACTCCTATCCCAACCCCAGCAGCTGCTTTAGATATACCCACTGGTTAATTTAAAGGTACTGTCCCAAAAAGTTTCCATTCTAAGATGAATGACATTGTTTTAAGTACTCAAAGAAAGACATACAAAGATGTTTATGCTTGTGATATGTTTCTCCCATGGGAAATCATAAAATTATAAAATTTTCAAAGCTTGAAGGACTTTAGAGATTATTTAGTGGTAAATATGAATAACATTTTCTACTCAAAATTTAAGTAGGTGAACACTTAAAAAGGAATTATGCATGGTATGATTTCTCATTTGCTAATTATTGAAATGTAAATTTATTTACAACTTTTACCAGAATCCTGGCCTTGTCATTAAATATCTTAAAAACTTATTATCACAACCAGTTTATTAGAGAGAATAACAGAGATAGGTTCTTCTGCTTCTTATTTAGTTTTATATGTCTTAGATCTGATCTCTTCTAAGATATGTTTACTTTATGTACAATTTGTTTTATGTACAAATTATGTACAATTTATAATCTTATAAAAGCTGTCCTTTAAAAATGTTTAGTTTCTGAGGAGAATACTACTTTTTAACAGTCCAGAGTTTATTTATTCATATACTTTGTAACAGAATAGATTATTTTGATACTAGAAAGCTAGTTTGATTATCAGTGATACACATACCCATTCAACAAATACTTACTGAATGCATTTTATGAACCAGGTTTAGTTAGGAACTTGGGATACACAGAATAAGATATACTCTGCCATAAAGAATACTACAGCTTGGCAGAATGCAAAGACATGTAAGTAAAAAAATAAGAGCAGGAGAATATAAACCATCTGACAGTTCTCTAATTATAGATTGGCAGTTCTATTTCTCTCTCTCTTTTTAATTGGAAATTGCAACATGGATGTCTACCAGCCTGGAAAAATATTTCCCATCTTTAAAATAATTTTGTGCCTTGTTTATAGTTTCCTTATGGTACCTTCCACTTCCATCTTATGTTATAGACATTAAAAAATGTGCCTTACCTGCTGCTGTAAACTTCTTGAAAGCAAAGGCTCTATCTTATAAATTAAGTGATATCCTTTACCACTTTTAGAACAGTGCCTTCCTTCTTCTTATAGCAGGTACTGAATAAATAGTTGAGAATGAATTAATAGCAAATCCTTCAGAAGAGTTAAAAGTTGGGAAGGGAAAGACAAAGCACAGCACCTGCTCTGCCCTTTTGCTTCTCTAGCCTTCTGTCACAAAGGGACTGCTTCACTGGGTAAATAATACCAACTTTGATGCTAATGGCTAACACTGTTCCCTGGCTAATATTTACATGTTCTCACAAGGGCCTTCTGGAGAGATAACAAATTAACTGAAAGGAATGTCTGAAAGGAGGAGTATTTTAAATCTCTGGCACAGTAGCAGTGTGTATGTGTGTATTCTCAACAAATATTTACTGAGCGCCTTCTATGTGCCAAGTGGCTTCTTCTGACTAAAGACTCACCCCAAATCACACAGGAGGAGTATCAGCTATTTTCTCAATAAAGAAGGGTTAATTTGGTCCTGTAGATGTGAGAAAAATGGTATTTGTCACTTACCTTCTACACACTTGAGTAAAATTAATGAAATAGATAATAGCTGTTCTTTTTAAGTAAAAGGAACTACAGCTGATGCTTGAACAATGTATGGGTTAGGGACACTAATCCTCTGTGTAGTAGAAAATCCCTGTATAACTTTTGATTCCCCAAAAACTTAACTACTAATAGTCTACTGTTGACTGGAAGCATTCCTGATAACATAAACAGTCAGTCAACACATATTTTGCATATTGTATGTACTAAATATTGTGTTACAATAAAATAAGCTAGAGAAAGGAAAATATTTTTCACATTGTTACAAATCGCCAAAAATTTTTTCAATATTATTTACTGATAAAAATACAAGTAAAAATGGACCTGCACAGTTCAAACCCATGTTGGTCAAGGGTCAGTGCTACTAAATATTAATATACCTAGTTCTGTTGTATCCCATACTACATGTAGGATGACTATGTATCCATATAACATTCCACTTAATAAAAGATTATAGCTAAAATAAGTTTGAAAGCCATTGCTCTAAATGATTCAGTACTCTCATTTTCAAATCAAAAGTGGACAAACATGCTCCCAGGACAGCACCAGGGACACACAGATGTGCACCAGCAGTGGAGGCTGAGGATGCACAGTGCCCACATGTACAGCTCAAAGGTTCTTAAACAGGCCTTGCAAGGGCTGGCATGGGGTGGCCCATTTTTAGAGGGCATACATTTCCAAAGAAAATCTGGTAAGCAAATAGTTATGTCTCTTTTTTTGTTTTGTTTCCATTTTTTAAAGAAACACAATTTCAACAATTTTCTGATGTTGACATCAGTGATTTACAAGAAGTTTCAAGATGAAAGCTGATTACCTCTGATTTCATTTATTTTGCAGATTAAACCCCAAAGCACTTCTAACTGCTCTAGGCTATTAAGAGAACTCAATTAAACAGAAAAAAGGGGAAAAAGGGTCAAGAAACATTCTCCCCCACATCCTAACCCTCTTCTTGATTCTAAGCCTGGCACAGAAATATGGTAGAAGAGAAAAAAATATGCACTTTTGTCTCTGAAAGGCCAGATAGTTTACAGGCTAGCAGCCAGTTTTCACTGAGTGATCCACAAAATCCATTTAGACAGAAGTAGGAAAGGAGGGAAAGAATAATTTTTTAAAAAGAAAAAGGCTTTTATAATGAAAAGAAGTTGGGGTTTTGGATAGACAAAATATTCACAATTTGACAGAAAATTTTGATAGAATTTTTCCTATAAAGCAAAAACAATTTTATG